AACAGCGGCCAGGTCACCGCGCTCGCAGGGGCAGGGGCCCTGAGGGCCAACCCGCAGCAGCCCTGCTCACTTCTCGCTGGGGGTCTCCACTACCTAGAGGAAAGGGGACGTGCGCATGCGCACACGCACCGGCTCGACTCCACCACCCCACCCGCCTAGGCTGTCAGAGCCTCCCTAAGGCGCTAGCCAGAAACCAAAAGCAGCCCCGCCCCTCCCTTCCAGAACATCACGGTCAAGGGGCCAGACTGACCTGGAAAGAGGCTACTCCTTCCTTTTCACTCAGAGTAACCTCGGGCAAGTCACCGCCGCCCCTCCCCAAGCCTCAGTTTCTCTAATTGTAAAATGGGAATAAAGGTCAACCCAGCTGCGAGGCTCAATACGATCATTAAGGCGCAGGTATTGATGTCACCGGGGTAGTGCTCATTCCCAGAGAGAGAGACGAGTCTCTGCCATCGTGTCCCCCACCCCACTCGTGGGCTTGCTCCCAGCCAAGGCCCCAGCGCCGCCGCGAAGTGGCAAGCCGGGGAGAACACGGCTTCGTGCCGCTTCGGAAATCCCAGGACGGGCTCCCGGACAGGGTGGGACGGGGCGGCTCCTTCTCACCCACTCAACCTCGGGCGCCCACGCGGGTAGGCAGCCCTCCCAGGCCTGGATCAGCGCGACCCATTCGAGCCGGGAGGGCCCCTCTCCAGCCCCGGGACGAGACCCCAGACCCAGGCCAGGACCCTCTCCGCTCCTCCCACTGCCCGGAGCCCTGGGAGTCCCTACGGGCCTGGCAGCTTGGGAGAATCAGGTCAGGTCTTCACCAAGGGGGCTGGAGGAGAGGAGGTAAAAGGGCCATCAGAAATTGCCCGTGACTGGTGCCACAAAAGTTGGGGGAGAGGGGGCTGCCCAGGACAGGGAGTTCCCATTTCCTCGGGGTCGCCCGGGCTCCAGGCCCAGAAGGGTGAGGAGGAGTCTGGGGGAAGTCGAGGCAGAACAGCCGGCTGGTGCCGCTGGGGTCGCCCTGTCTTCCGGCCGAGACCTCCTCTCGCCTCCGGAGAGTGAAGGGGGTGCCCAGGAGGGGAGCGGCTCGGCTCGGCTCAGGCTCGGGCCGTCGCTCTCCTCCCGGCCTGGGGCGCAGAGGGACTGCCCCGGGGGGGCACTCACCGTCATGGCGGCGCCCCGGGGCGGCGGGAGCAAGAGGCAGGGAAGTGGAGAGGGCTCTCGGGCCGGGCCCAGCGGCGCGGGAATCCCGCCGCCGCCGCCGCCGCCGCCGCCGCCGCCGCCGCCGCCGCCGCCCCTCTCGGCTGCCCGCCGCCGCTCCTCCGGCCCTTCCCTTCCGCGGCGCTGCCCTGGCCCCTTCCATCCGCCCATAAAACTTTTTTTTTTTTTTTCAAACTTCCTGGGAGGACCCGGGTGGGCCAATGGGCGGCGAGGAAGCCAGGACAAACAGCGGCGGGGGCCGCGGGCAGACCAATGGGAGCGCGGGCCGGGCCGGGGGCGGGGCCTGCCGCGACGGGACGGGCGCGCGAGGGCGGTAGCGGCCGGCGGATGGGGGCGGAGGGAGCCGAGGGCTGGGCTCCCGCCGCGGGCGCGCAGGGAGGAAGGAAGGACCTTGCGTGCAGGTGACTCGGTCGGGCCGCGGCGCGGGAGTGCTGGGCGGGGACAGCTGGGCGTGGCACCCAATCTCCCTGCTGTGGCTCCCGCGAGCCTTGGGTCAGAGCTATACGTCCACTGAGGGCTCGGCGCTTCGGTTTGACGGAGACGTGAGCAATGCGCCCGCTACTAACTCAGCGGGCCCCACTCGCGAAGCCCCCCGATCGTTACCTGTGTCATCTAATTTCGTCCTCACCACAGACCTGACAGGGAGATGGCCCTTGTCCCCATTTTACTAATGAGAAAACAGAGGCTCAGAGAGGTGAGCCGAGCCGACTTGGCCGAGCCGACAGTAAGAAGAGATGGGATCGATTCCTAGCATGGAATCTAAGCCCAAAGCGAGTTCTGGAACGGTAGGGCCTTCCCCAAATGGCCCCTCATTACAAGCGGGTTTTTCTCGGCTTAAGAACCCCATTTGGGGTTCTTGGGTGTGGGCGTACCCTCGCTTCTCACATTGCCAGCACTTGGCAGTTTATAAGAGGCCCTTTCGCCTGCAGGAGCTCATCGGAGCTTTGCAGCAGAGGAGGGTCCTTAGTGGAATTTGTTGAAAGTGCAGCTGTAGCTCGTGTGGCATTGAGATTCCAACTCTGCAGTTACCTTAAGCCAGATACTTACTTAACCTTTCTGGGCCTCAACTTCACTCTATGTAAAAGGAGAGAATGCTATTTATCACCTGATGTTCCTGTAAGGATTAAGTGTTAATGTAAGTAACCCCCCCTAGAACAACCCCTTTACCCCTTAGTCAGCTATTTTTAGGTTGGGGGGGGGCAGGGGAGCTTGGGACAATTGCCATTTCAATTTTCTGCCGTCTCAATTTGGGGTCCAAAAATCATTGCTTTGATAACGATGATTCCTCTCCCCATTTCACAGATTTAAAAATGGAGGGCCGGGCTGAAGTTCTTTTCCTAGCATTTCCCACTAGGGGTCTCCTCCACCCGAGGAAGGGGGCCAAGGATAAGCCTATCTTCCTCTAGACACTGGCCATCCGTCTCCATGTGCCATGTGTTCCCACTCTACCCTCCACCTCGCTTAGGCATTTGGTGCTCAGTAGAGTGAGCGGATAAACAGAAGACCTCACCGGCCACTGCCACCAGTGCCCTGGTCCAGTGGCTCCTGACCGCAGCAGCCTCCTTGCTGGCCTCCTGGCCTCTAGGCCTCCTCTTCTCATACCCTCAACCCAGTGATCAGTTCGCTCCCCTGCTCCAAGTTCAACAGGGCTAATAGATCAGCTCTGTGTTCTTGGTGCAGGCCGTCAGCATCTGTCATCATCTGGCCCCTGCCTGTTGCCCCCCACCATTGTCCACACACATCTTACATGCAAGGGACCCGTCACCCTGAACTACTGGCAATTCTGAGAATAAACCAGGTCCTGCATCTGTCCATTCTGCAGCTACAGATGACCACACTGCATTCTAGTCAGTTACGTGTCAGTTTCCTCGCCAACCTGAGTTCCTTGTGGGCAGAACCAGAGTGTTTTTGTCTATATCTTGGAGGCCGGCCTGGGGCCTCTGTCCACAGTAGCTCCTCAGTAAATGCAGGTCCACTGAGTGGATGCACCAGTGCATAAGTGACTCCCTTCCCCCATCTTGTCCCAGTAGGACAGGGATAGGCCAGACTTGGGAACCCAGGAGTACGTTATGAAACAGAGCCACCAAACTTGGGGGTTACCCATTCACCCAACAGTTGCTATTACTCTATTGAGGGCACCAGCGTGAGGCTCAGAGAGGGCCGTAGTGTCCCAAAGCCACACAACCGAGAGACAGAACTCAAGCCCAGGCCTCCTGGCTCTTGACCTTGGACTGATGTTGCTATCCAACCCAAGATGTATGAAGCTGCTCTAGGTAACAGTCTGGAGGCTCTGCTAGCAGTTCCTTCCCATAGCCCTGGACTCGCCTCATTCCCAGCTGAGGAAACGGCCACAGACCCACTCAGCCTCGGTTGCCACATCTTATCTAATGGGGAAAAGCTTCCGGGGATTCTAGGGGCTGCAAGGGGGGCTTGGAGATCAGGGTGCAGAGGTGGGAGGGTTCAAATCTCAGCTCTGCCCCTTGTGTGACCTAGAACAAGTTGTTTTTCTCCCCCCCCCCCCCCCCCCGGCTGCGCTTCATTTTTTAATCATCTGTACGACAGACAATACGAACCATACTTAGCACGCCCCCGTGGAAAGGAGCAAATGCAATCAAGCAGGTCATGCACCGAACACAGAGCTGAGCACAAAGTAGGTACCGGATACATGTTGGTTGTCATCACCAGCACCGCTGTCCCAGAGTGCCTTTCCCCATTCTGTCCCCTTCTCTCCACCACGGACTTACCTGCTCCCTTCTGCATGTCGGTGACCTTTAGTTCGTGTGACAAGGTCATTCCCGCCCAGGCTTGAAGGTACAACCCTGCCCAGCTAACCATGTTGTCGGAGCATCCTAGTGCCCTAACTCCCAAGGAGCAGCAGAGAGGAAATTAGGAGATGGATGGGAAGGTCAGTGTGTGGACGCCCCCAGCCATCACACCTCTGTGTCTCCCAGCCTCCCTGAACCCTCTCTGCAGCCCTGAGCGTTGCTGTGGATTTCCCCCATTCAACAGATGTGGCAACTGAGGCCTGGGGTGGTTAGCTGCAGCCATCCTCTCATCTGAGAATGAGGAAAATCAGCAGGAGGCTGACTCCTCTAAGCCCTCTCTGTGCAACTCCAGCAAGTCCGCTCACCTCCCTGAGCCTCGGTTCCATCGTCTGCAAAATGGATATACTATGCTGTCTCTACCGTGCCTGGCCTACTGCTAGACCCAGAGCCAGCGAGAGAGTATAAGAGTCATCCTGTCACTAAGAGAAGAAACCCCACGCACTGGCCAGTGGCCCCTGGAAAGCCCAGGCCCCTTCTATCCGCCGGGAAGGGGGCAGAAGGAAGCGAGTCGCAGCTGCCTCCCCTCCCTGGCCTTGAGGAAACCCTGAACCAGAGGTCTGAGTGTTTACAGCCCTCTCTGGGCAGGGGGTAGGTTACGTAATGCCAGATGTTTGTGAAACTGGCTCAGGCCCAGGTCTGAGACACACTTTGCAATCCCAGAGCCCCCCTCGGGCCATCCCTCTCTCCCTTCCCCCAATCTGTCTCCCGTTGGCCGGGTTGCTGCTTGGGCACTTTCAGCTGTATAGATTCTTCCACCCCCGCCTCCCCCTGAAAACTGAAAACAGCCCCAGCCCCGTCCTGGAGGTGGCAGAGACCACGGGGGGCTCTTAGGACTGCGCTGTCTCATGTGGGAGCCCCAAGTCTCCTCTCCCAGCCCCCACTCTCCCTCCTTTGCCTAATACCAACCTCCTTCCTCCCCTCCCCCTCTGTCCCACCCTGATCCCTCCCACCCCGCTGGCGCCAGCCTACCCTTTGCCACCTGAGGACCCCCAGAGAGAGCAGGAATGGATTGAACAGCGTGGGACGGTCCCCGGGCATCCGCCATGAGGTCACCAGTCGGCCCTTGAGTGGGCTCCCAGCCTTGCCCTCCGCTGGCCTCTTGTCTGCCTGTCAAACAGGGTCCAGTGTCGGCCCCCAAGTCCTTTGGTGGGATGAGGGGGGTCCCTGACTATAGTCTCCCCTCCCTAGTTTGCCATGCCCACCCGAAAGGCCTAGGGCTCTCATCTTTCTGGTCTCACGGAGCGACCAAGAAAAGAGCATGCTCACTTATTCACACTACAGGGTGTTTGGCTGATGGGGGCTCTTGGGGCTCAGCACCTTTGGGGACGCGCACCTCAGCACCCTAAAGTCAAACCACAGCTGGCCAGTAGGAGGGGGAGTGCACACCCCAGCGGTGCGTTCAACCTGCATAGATTATTTTACACTAGGCTGCAATGTTAAATAACCAAGAGACTGCCGTATAACCACGTATTTCCGGTTTCTCTAGGAATACCTGAAGGTGTAAAGACTCTGGGCCCATCTTCCCCATGACATCAACCCGTGTGGCACCAAGAGGCCACACAAGTGCCCCCAGTCTCTACCCAGCACCTGCCTACTCTCCCCATTTGATGAAAAGAAAGAATCACAGACGTCTGCACCCACCCCTGGCAGAGTCTCCCCAATGCAGTCGCCCTGGTTGGGGAAACAGGCCCCAGAAAAGCAAAGGCATTTTCCCAAAGTCCCATAGCAGCTTACAGGCTGAGAGGTAGGACAGAGCCCAGGGGTCCCCACTCTTTGGGATCCAGAGCTTATCTGGCAGTGGATCATAAAGGTTTTGGGGGAAAGACCGCGCCCCACCTTGTCACCACGTCCCCCTCCCCCCAGTACAGCCCCGGCCACTGGACCAGGAGCTCCACGGACTCCAGTTTACTCCCGGCCCACACCCCCAGGCATGCAGGAAGTGCTCACTAAGTGTCCGTGAATAAGTGAATGAATGAACGAACCAGCAAAGGAACGGAAGGAGGCAGTTATCAGCTCAGTCCAATCCAGGCTGCCTGGGGGGTGGGGGTGGGGAGAGGTTTCCACATGGGTGGGATGGGCCCATTTTGTGGGGATTAGAGAGGGGACCCCTATGTTGCTATTTCCTCTTCGTTCACGAAGCTCCAGCCCCAGGAAGTATGAAGAAATGACTCAGAAAGAGGAAGAGCAAAGTTGCCAGAGCCCCTGTGACAGCTGGAAGTGCCTTTAGCGACCAGTCCTCTGTCTCCTCCCATTTCACTGACGGGAAGACTGGCCAGCAAGCAATGAGAGCCCAGCCGCCACCTCAGGAAGCCACGCAGCGAGTCAGGACAGAGCCAGGCAGCAACGGCCAGGCGGCACAGGGACTGCCGGATGGGGGTCCTGAGTCCCCAGGCTCTTGTTAGAGGTCAGCCGCTGCCTGGTGACCCGGGATGGCCCTCCTGCCCCTCATTTCCTCATCTGCAAGGAGAGCCCGGGCAGAACCGCCCCAGCTCTGATTGGAGGCAGGGCCAGACTAGGGGTTCCAGGCTGCCAGGCAGATCCCCTCTGCCCCCCATTAGGCTTTTCTGGAGGAGGGAGTGGACCCAGAGCAGGATGAGAAAAGCATAGCCCCAGGCAGCCTGTCTCCTCCCTGCCTCCCCCTGCCCCAGGCTGTCAGCTCTGACCTCACCTCTCTGGAGACTGAGGGTGATGAGAACAGTCTGTTTGGCAGGTTGTGGGGAGGGGCGGGGCACGGCGCTGTGCTCCAGCTGCAGCCCCAGCCTCCCCCCTGCACACATCTCTCCCCACCCAGGGACCCTGGAGACCGTCCAGGCTCAGCTGACTGTAGCACCTCCTCGGCCCTCTTCAGCGGTTCTCTGGCTCGAGCTTCTGGAATCCTACCCTTTCTCCCTGCCTGGCCAGCCCTCCAGAACCAGAAGGACCTTACCTTCAGAGACCACCAGGGTCAAACTGCCATTTACCACCCCCCCCCAAAAAAATAGGGGGGAGTGACTTTTCAGGGCATCCTAGCAAGTTAAGAGCAGAGCCCTGGGCTTCTGACCCCAGGATCATTTACCTGCCCTGGTCCCCAAGCCAGAAGGTGGTTCAGCTGCCCAGCCCCCCTCCCGGACCCCCTCTTCTCAAGCCCCTACCATGCACACAGGTGACCCCATGGCAGAGCCAACCCCGGTCTGGATGACCCTAGAGCTAATCAGAGGACCTCAGCCCACCTCCAACCTGATTTCCCTTCCCTTTACCTCCCTATGTGCCCACACCCATGACCCAACTACCGAGTCTGCCTGCTTCTGGTCGGTCAGGGAGTCTTGGCCTTTGCTTGGTTCTGATTCCTCAGGCTCCTCTGATTGGAACTGGAGACAAGAAAGAACACAGCTTAGCCCGGGTTATTCCCCAGGTTCCGTTCATGCACCCACCTTCTTATCATCTATCCATCCAACATCCATCTAGCATCCATCATCAATAGATCAATGTATTATCCCTCCAACCGTCCAACATCTACCTTACATTATCCGCTCCCTAATCTATCCAACATCCATTATCCCACTCATACATCCAGCCTCTATTCATCCATTGTCTGTCTATCCATCCTGCACCCAAGTATCCTTTCTCAATCCAGCCAACACCCATCCATCCATCCATCCATCCATCCATCCATCATCCATTCATATTCTACACATATTCATCCATCTATCCATTCACATCAAGCAACATTATCTACCCAAACCCCCATTATCTGTTCCACCATCACCCATCTAACTTGCCATCTAGCATCTTTTTATCATTTATCATAGTTATCTGTTTAGCCATCATCCATTTACACATCCACAGTCCATCATTCATCCATCCTCTAACCATTAACCCACCCAGCCTCCATTTGTGTCTTGCATGTGTTCAAGCCTTTATGTATTCACCAACCACTCATCCATCTGGCTGAGCTCCTCATGTGTGTCACGCCCTGGGCCAGGGGCCAGAAGTGCAGAGATAAAGTAGACACTGCCCCTGACGCCATGCAGGGCAACTTTCGTATGGAGAAATGACAACTGAGTGTGACCAGATGGAGTGTGGCAGGACCACCAAGCCCAGAAGGGAAACACTACCAACCTGGGGGCTGGGGGGTGAGCATTCAGGGAAGGTACCTCAGAACAGGGGACCTGATCTAAGACCTGAATAATGAACAAGTGTTTGGTAGGTTGAGACAAGGAAAGGAAGAGCATCCTAGGCCATGGGAACAGCATATGCAAAGGTGGGGAGATGCACCTGCTGAGCTCTACAACCAGCTCAGTAAAGTAGGGAGCAAATCCGGGGTGGGAGAAAGCCCAGGAGGTAGCCAGGCTAAGGACTTTTATAGAGGGTGACTAACTAGAGCCCCAGGAAGCCTGGTGAATGCCTCTGCTTTGTCATTCGTGAAATGCCCTTTAGCACCTGGTGATCCCTCCCCTCCCTAGTGGCCATCGCTAAGTTCCCAGGGACTCCTGAGCCCCATCGCTGAGCAACTGTAGGTGAAGTATCTTCCCTGTAGACCAGGCCCGGCTGCAGAGTCCCAGCATCCACTGGGATATAGCAACCCCCCTCCCCCTGACAGCACTTCTCATGTGGAGGCTCCAAACTCCCTACCCCCCCCCCCCCACCTTTGACCAGGAGGGTAGGACCAAGCTGGCTCATCTCTGCATCTCTCGTGTCTGGGCATTGAGGTGACTAGGGAGTAGATCAATAAAAGCCTCAGGGAAACACAGGGGAGGGGGCTCCCCGGTATGGCCCCAGGCTCAGAGGCTTCATAACATGGCCATTAAAGGCTCGGGCTTTGGAGCTGAAGCATGGCCATTAAAGGCTCAGGCTTTGGAGCTGAAGCTTTGATCTGATTCCTCATATATACACATGTGTGACTCCTGGCAAATGCCAGACAAGGCCAAGCCTTCTATCAGGCTGAGGCATAAATGGCAAAGCATGTAAAGCACCAGAGCCAGGACCCGGCAAACCCTCCCCTGTCCTCCAGGAGGGAGGCAGCGCTGGGCTGCGCATCAGGGAAGTGAGGCTGTTTGGATGGACGAGCAGGAGCCTCCATATCACCCCAGCGGCACCTATGAGGGAAGAAGTTGGTCCCATTTTACAGGGTAAGACCAGGGCAAGAGACGCCGGGTGCCCAAACCACATGCTGCATTCGCAGTGAGCTGAGGCCAGGTTGCCTGGCTCTGACCTCCAGGCCACCATCTTCATGTGGACGCTCCAGGCAGCACCAGAGTACCACTGACTCTGCGACCCTGCCCCTGGGCCAAGGAGGCAGGCAAGGGACTTGATGAGCTCCTACATTGTGCCCAGCCCCGGCCCTGCACATAGTAGGCTCTCATTTGAGTAGCCCGTCTTAGCAGTCCGCTCAACTCAATGAGCTGTACGTTTGTACAACCTCTTCACTGTGCCTGAGAGGAGCTGTTGGGTCCAGAAAGGGGTAAGTGAAGCTGTCCTGCACTTTGAGGAACTTTGAATACAGCAGGGAGGGGCGCCTGGGTCGCTCAGTCGGTTGAGCGGCCGACTTCGGCTCCGGGTCATGATCTCTCACCGTTCCTGAGTTCGAGCCCCATGTCGGGCTCTGTGCTGACATCTCAGAGCCCAGAGCCTGCTTCACATTCTGTGTCTCCCGCTCTTTCTCTCTGCCCTTCCCCCGCCCCCCCTTGCAGTCCCAGCCAGGGTCAGCTAAGAGCCATCAGAGCCAATACAAGCCAAGGACCGTGCAGCCAGGAAGGGAGAGCGCCTGGTCAGAGCACCTTGCTTGAAGCCCCAGGGCGGTCTGAGTGGCAGACCTGGGGGCCCCAGCCTCTTACTCGCTGTGTGATCTTGAGGGGCTTAACCTGAGTATCCATTGCCTTCTCTATAAATAAACACTGCCTTTCTCATCAGGCTGCTATGGAAATCAAATGAGGAAAATGCCCACAGAATATTCAGACCAGGGCTTAGCATGCAGTGAATGCCGGTCATTACCACCACTTGGTGGTTGGGAAAGTCTGGGTCAGGAGGAAGGACCAGCGCCGAGCCTTGGACGGTGTATGGGAGCCGAAGGGAGGCCTTTCTGAGGATGCTTGTCGGCGCGAGGCTGACTTTCAGGCTGCGCCTTGGACGGGAGGCTGACTTACCTCCCACTCTGGCAAGCCGGGACCCTCTGCGGGGCTTCTGCTCCCCGGACCAGCCAAAGTCGAGGTCTCCGGTCCACTTGTCACTTTGGTCTTTGGCCACTGGGTGGAGATGCAGTCAGGGCTGGGTGGCTGGGCCGAGCTCTGGGGCCACAGCCCGGCCTTCTGTCCGTTGACTAGGGTGGCCTCCACCCAGCCGTCAGGCTGGCCCTGTCGCTCCAGCTCCGAGGTACCGCTTGTGGCTGGGGAACCCACCTCTGGCCCTGAAGCCGTGGCCAGGGCACCCCCAGGTCCAGCTGGGTCCTGGCGGGGCAGCTGGGCTTGCAGCAGCTCCAGGAGGCCCCCCCAGTCTAGCCTGGGAAGATGGGAGGCGAGCGTCGACTCCTCCGTGCGGGCCCAGGCCCCCTCTCCGAGTGCCCCGAGGAGGCCCACCAGCTCCCTCCAGTCGAGGTAGGGTCGCCGCTCGGGGCTATGGCGGTGTGGGCATGTTTCTTCAGGCCCCCGGCCCGGGGTGCTAAGTGCCTCGGGGCCCACCCTCGAGTTGTGCCGGGGGCTCCATGGCTGCTGAGGACTGGACAGCGTCTGCAGGCTGCCCCAGCCTCTCTGAGCTGGCCTGTCAGAGGGGGGCTCCTCCCAGGCCTCTGACGGCCCCCTGGGGCGGGGGGGGGCATCCGGCCGCCCCCAGCACTCCTCACACTCCCTGAGAGGCCCCCTCCAAGCTCCCTCTGGTGCTCTGGCTACCCCCCGGCCGGGCTCCCCAAGTCCTTGCCAGCTGTCCAGGCCCGGGCCCTCCTGGTGGCTGTCGCGGCCTCTCTCCGGGTACCTGTGAGGGCCCTGGGGACCTGGAGACGCCTCCTGACTCGGCCACCACCCCAGAGGCTGTCTTGGGCCCGCCCGGCCACTTTCCGGAGATCTCTCGGGCCGCCGCTCCCTCTCAGTGGTCCGCGCTGATGTCCTCGGGGGCAGCGAGGACCCCTGAAGCCTCCGGTCCCCTTCAGGCCGCCTCTCGGGGCTCCTGGGATGAGACGGCTCTGCTTGGCTCCGGCGGGACGGTTCTGCCTGCTTCGCAAGGGGCTTGGTGACCTGAGGATGAGGGAGGGAGGGGGGGGTGAGGCTCCAGAATCGTGACCAGAATCTCTCTCTCTCTCTAGGACAGGAAACTGGTCTTCTCCAGGCCTGGGGAGAGGCTGGCTGTGGCCTCACAGCAGCCTGGATGAAAGCAGACTGTAAAGTCTTCCCTCCCTGGGGGGTGTCACTGTCTCCCTTTCACCCAGTCTCCTCGCTTTCAGAAAGAGATCTTCAAAATGCTGCTTACTTTCCTGGCCTCCCCCTGCACGCCCCTCCCCAAGATACTGATTCCAACCTGGGCTATCAGGTGCCAGAATTCCCACCACCAGCACCCCACTCCACTGGGTGAGACCCTGCTCTCCAAGAGTTTATTTAAAAATACAAATCCCCAGCCTGGAAGAGAGAGCCCTTAGAGCTGGCCTGCGGCATCCAGGGCTTTCCATGAAAACTTTTCAAGATGGCAGGTGTCTAATGAAGGAAGGGACCATTGTGGAAGGGCCCTCTTGGAAAGAATAATTCGGGGTCCTTCTCAATTTTGCTAAGAACCGCTGGCTCTTTGGGAGGTGGGAGGGAAGCCGGACACCCATGATGGGGGACTCTGATCCTTTCATAAAGAACCTCCCTTCTTGAACCCCCTGCCTGCCCCCTAGGGGAGGGGAGAGGCGGTGGCCCACCTTTTGGGGGTGCAGGGGCCCTGGGACAGACTGGCAGTGCTCACCTCCCTGCTGAGGGCAGGGCTGGACTGTCTTCGGAGAAGTTGGCTCTGACCTTGGCTGGGCTGCTGCGACCGCCCCTCATCCCGGGCTTGGAAGGCCCCCGGCGCCTCGGACTTCCTATGAGCAAATGCAGCCGCCCCTCTGAGGGCCCTTGGGACTGTCCCAGCAACCCGGCTCCTCTACTCCCGCCCCCAAGGGCGGTGGGAGATGTGGGTGATCCAGGGACCCTCCACCAGCTTGTTGAAGGGCCCTAAGTAAGGGATGCTCCTCTCAGGGTCTCAGTTTCCCCTTCTGAAAAATGAGGATGGTCGACACCGCTCTAATCTACCCACCTCATGGGGGTGATGAAGTGAGAAAAAGGGGTAAGCCGAGGTGGGGGGCTTAGCCTTGATCCTGACTGCTTCTCGCCTCACTCAGGACTTCCTATTTCTGACTACCACCCCACCGGCAGCCCACTACCCGTCCCTAGACAAAGGTTAGACTGGTCCTTGTGGGAATTAAGATTTATTGAGCACCTACTGTGTACCAGGCACTGTGCACACACGATCGTTGACAGCAAACATTTATTGAGCACTTCCTATGTTCCAGGTGCCAAGCACTTGACCATCCCACTTTATCCCACACAACCCACGAGGTGGGGGCGGGAGATGCAGATGTAATGGGCCCCCATATCTCACTCTTTCTGCCCTTGTCCTGTCTACATGGTGAGTTTCGGATTTCCCCGTCTTTTTTTCCCCTCCGTAACTAAGAGGGCTCCAGCACTTAGCCTTGAACCTCTAGGCCAGCTGAGCTGTCAGTAAAGGAGCTCTCAGCAAGGTCAGAAGGAAGAAAACATCGTCTACAATTCGAGAAAGACCGACAGAAACTGTCTGTGCAGATGGGACTTCTAAGACACCTGGACTTCGGGCATTCTTGCCACATCCAGCAAAGATAGCCTCTAAGCTGTAAAAAGTCCCTGATTCCAGTTCGTCTTGCTTAATGATCGGTAGCCGTGGTTGTTAATATTTAACGTGACCCGAGAGGGAGTAACCGAACAGAATGTGGGCACACCTCTCCCCTCCCGTATGTAAGGTCATCAAAACCAACGACCCAACCACTCCAGTGGATGTTTATTTCAACAGGTCTGACTTCATCTAAATTGACAAAGGAAGCCGGGTCTCTAACGGCTGAACTGAACTGAAAGAAACCTAAAAAAGACTACTTGGTGCCAAGCCTCAACCGAGCCAGCCAAAAGGGAAGGAGGAGGGATTTCTGCTCAGCCAGACCTGGGCTCTGCCTTCAGCCTACCTCCTGCTTGGGAACTACGTGGAAACTCCACGGACGCTTTGGAGAGTAGGGGGAAAAAAAAAATATATATATATATATATATATATATATGAATTTGGCGTTTGTTGTTGCCTTATGGTTTTTCCAATGTCATTAGACTCAGACCCATAAGGTCAGTTGAGTTTGTAGCAACTCTTAGCAGGAGACTCACAGAAAACCAAAGGTCTCTTATCTGGAGTAAGTGTTTCTGAGTTTGAGGGCTGCCTGATCAGCTTCCGTTTTTAATCTATTTGAGGCAAGGGGAGTTCCTTGCTCTGTGAGATCTGAGGCCTTGGAGTGAGTTTCCACTGAACCAGGAGCTGGAGGCTGCGTGGCGCGAAAGCCCGAAACGTGACTGGGTTGGGGAGGTGAACAGCAGAAAAACAGCTCAAGGCAGGATCGACAGGCAAATGGGCGCTTTCTCAAGTGCATGCGCCAAATAAACTCCAGTTTGCTCAACGATCAGCCCTTCTGAGAAGGGTCCCCCCAGGTGAGTTGAGAGATAGGAGGAAAGGACTCTAGAAGATTCTGAGAAGCCAACAGAGAACCAGCCTTTGTGATGCTGAAGCAACAGCGTCCCCTTGGGCCACCTGTTCCTCAGTGCGTGGCCAGCACCAAGGGAGTAAAGGAAACAGGTCTCCTCTGGAAGCTTGGATGGGCTCTACTCCATTCATTTCCAGACAGTATTAAAGGACAAGAGCCGTCAAGTCTAGCAAATTCCATGAAGACTCTGTTTTGAATTCAAGAGATTACAGAACACTTATATGATGCTCAGATAAGGGATTCCATCTGGGAAAGGGAGGATGAAGATATCAAGCCAAAACTTGTCATGCTTTAATGTGATAGCTTTTTTGTTGTTGTTTTTTAAGCCAGTGCCAGATGACGTGGAAAAAGATGTAGAATAACATGTGATAGCCTTTTAAGGGAAATTGTCCAGGCTCGGCTAGACAATGCTTGGACAGAATAGATGCTCAATAAATACATGTTGAATGAGCACATCGGAGAAAATAAAGGTAGGGCTCTATTGCCACCTACTCATAAATTTCAGTCTGTCCCTTACAGGTATTCGAATGGGGTTTAAAGTTTCATCTCCAGAGGACAAATGCTTTTCTATTTGGAAAAAGCGCCATACAAGAGGAAAAAAAAATCTCATTACTCAGTAGAGTTCTAGAACGTTGATTAAAAAGTAAATAGTCTACTTCCCCAAAATGTATACAGTAAATATATGCAATTTTTATCTACCAATTATGCTGCAATAACGCTTTAAAAAGGTAAATGACTTCAAAGAGAGCAAAATAAAAGGAATAGAAGTATCTGTGTAAAAATAACTGAAGGGTAACAAAAGCATAAACATCTTCCTGACTTCTACTATAAACACTTTTATCTGTCTCAAAGTTATCCCTGTAAGAAAAAAAAAAAAAAAAGAAGGAAATTTAACTTTGGTTTAAGGACCTTAGTGTCCCTGCTGAGTTATCAGATAAAATCAAAGGTATGCAAAATGATATTGGACCAAAAATAGTAATCAGAAGAAGACCAAAGCCAAAGGGGAGTTTTAGGGCAGTTAAGCTACTCTGTGTGATGTCACAATGGTGGATACATGCTATTATATGTTTGTCCAAACCCATAGAATATTCATCATGAAAAGTGAACCCTAATGTAAACTATGGGCTTTGGGTTCTAACGGCGTATCGGTGCAAGTTCATGGTTTCTAACAAATGTTTCACTCTGGTGGGGGGGTTGCCGATAGTCCGGGAGGTTATGCATGTGTGGGAGCAGGGGCTGAATGGGAAATCTCTGTACTTTCCACTCAAATCTGCTATGATCTTAAAACTGCCCTAGGGGAAGCCTGGGTGGCTCAGTTGCTTAAGCAGCCGACTCTTGGTTTCGGCTCAGGTCATGATCTCATGGTTTGTGAGTTGGAGCCCCACAGCTGGCAGCGCGGAGCCTGCTTGGGATTCTCTCCCTCGCTCTCTGCCCCTCCCCCGCGCACTCTCTGTTTCTCTCTCAAAAATAAGCTTAAAAAAAAAAAAACTGCTCTATTTCAAAAATTATTTTTAATGTTTTATTTGTTTTTGAGAGAGAGAGAGAGAAAGAGAGCCAGCGTGAGCAGGGGAGGATCAGAGAGAGAGGGAGATACAGAATCTGATATAGGCTCCAGGCTCTGAGCTAGCTATTAGCACAGAGCCTGATGGGAGGCTCAAACCCACGAACCATGAGATCATGCCCTGAGCAGAAGTCAGCCGCTTAACCAACTGAGCCATTCAGGCGCCCCAAAAACTGCTCTAAAATTTTTTTAAATGTGTTTTTAGAAAAAAGCCGAGGAGAGAAGTACACTAAAGCTGGGGACCCCAAGGGTCGTCACCTGGATACTAAATGGGTAAAACTTACTAGAAAAGGAAATTTGAGGAATAAGAGATAAGGTTTCTCAAGCAGATTCAAATCTAACAGAGAATATTGCCTAAAGGAAAACAAAGAGGCATTCTGGAATGCAAACTATTACCTGCTCCCAGGGTGACGGAAAGCTTCTAAAATTGGGTGGTACGTGGCGGCACACAACCCAAGCTTAGGAAATACACTGTAATTCACTGAATTATACACTGTAACTTCTGAGACTCCCAGACCTACTTTTTGTTCTCTTGACCTTAACTAATGGAATTCCAGCCCTGATCCTTGAACACTCGGAGGCTGGAGCTGCTATGGAACTGCTCGGAGAAAGAAATCTCAGCCAGGTGGAGGGGGTGGGGGGATGTTTCCCTTCTGCGCAGCTGTGGCAAAGGACGCTGTGGGTCATAAACCGCCGGTGCAGCTCTCTGGCAGAGGAGAGTCGCAGAATTCCTGGACCTCAGGCCTTGTCACCACATCCCAGGAAAGCGACATTTAACTTCTAAAAAATGTGTAATTCTGCGTGTCCTCTTATTTAAAATAGGTGGCTCTGGCCATTCGTTTTAAATTGACATCTCTGTTTCTCAAATGCATGGGGACCCATAAGTTTCCTGTTAAAGCAGAAAAGGACCATGGGTACTTTCTCCTCCCTCATGGAAGAAGGAAAAAATAAAATAAACCTATGATTCTGGATCAAACAAAGGGTTTGAGAGTTAAACCTTATTTAGATGAGGAGTGCCTGGGTGGCTCAGTCAGTTAAGTCTGACTGCGTCTCAGGTCATGATCTCGCGTTCGTGGGTTCAAGCCCCACGTCAGGCTCTGTGCTGACAGCTCAGAGCCTGGAGCCTGCTTCAGATTTTGCGTCTCCCTCTCTCTCTTCCCCTCCCCTGCTCACCCTCTGTCTCTCTCGACAATAAAAACATTAAAAAAAAAACCCAACCTTATTTAAATTAACATGCTAATGTTCTCCCCATTTTACAGATGAGGAAACTGAGGCTAAAATAGGTTAAATCACTTTACCAGGTCATATAGGTTGGGGAGTGGATTTGACCCAGGATTTGACCCCCGCCCGCCTGACCCAGGTCATTGCTCGCTACACTTGGTTGTCAAACCAAAAAAACAAACAAAAAAACCCTCCGTAAACAGAGATGAAATGACTCGCCCAAGGTCACACAGCCAGTAAGTGGCGGGGTGGGGGGCGGTCTGAACTCTTTCCATCTGCCAACCCAAGCCTGTGACCCCCTCCACCTGTCCTGTTGCCGAGCCTCCTCCCCAGCCCTCGGGGCTGACCCCGCCCTGAGCTCACCTGCGCTCTTGCCCGAAGAGGCGCTCCACCTCTGCGCGGCCGGGGCTGCGGGTTCGGCCCCCGTTGCTGCACTGGGGCCCTGGCTCCCTTTGCGCCAGCCTCCTGGGCGGGGGCAGGTCGGCCAGCATGGTGTACTCCTCCCTCTCCAAGTTGTGCCTGGTCTCCCCAGGGGCCGCGGAGCCCCGGGAGCCCCCGGAGCTGCCAGTTGGCGGGGGTGAGGAGGCCAGGAGCGCTAGGTCACTGGGTGGGTGGCGGGGTGGGGAGGAGGCTCGAGGTGCATCCCGGTGTCCGATGCACACGTGGGGAGGCGGCACTGGGGAGCCATGCAGAGAGTCAGTGGAGGGGGGCAGGCTCTCCATACTAGTCCCCGGGGCATCCTGGAAGAAAAGGGACGGCTCAGGGGCCTGACGTGGTGGGCACGAGAAGGCGGGTGCATCCCGGTGCCCAATGCACACAGGGGTGGGGATGTGGGGGGGCTCGTGCAGAGAGTCTGTGGAGGGAACAAGGCTCTCAGTACTGGCCCTGGGGAGATCCTGGAACAGGAGGGAGGGCTCTGGGGCCTGGCGCGGTGGGGAGGAGGCCCGGGGGGCGTCACGGTACCCAATACACACAGGCGGGGGGAACTGAGGCGGATCGTGCTGGGGGGACTGAGCCTCAGCATCGGATGTGTCTGGGAGGAAGGGAAAGGGATCAAACTGGGTGTGGCGGGGGGGTGAAGAGGCCCGGGGGGCATCCCGGTGTCCAATGCACACAGCTGGAGGTATATAAGGGGGGGTGTGGTGGGGCGATTCACTCTCAGATGTGTGGGGGTCTGGGAAGAAGGGGAAGGGATCATGCTGCAAATAGCGAGGAGGCGAAGAAGCTCGAGGGGCATCCCGATGCCCGATACACACAGAACACGGAGGCTGGGAGGGCTCAGAAGAGGTGTGGGGGGCCCCGCGGGTAGCAGGGTACAGCGGTGAAGAAGTCCGGGGGGTACCATGGTGGCCGGGGTTATGGGAAGAGGAAGTGGCCCGGGATGGTGGGTTGTGCTGGGTAGATTCAGAGGACAGGGGTGGGTCACGCTGAGCTGGCCTGCTGGGAGAGGAGGTCTGAGACCTGTCCCCTTGGGTTGGCCGAAGGGCAATGGAGGCCCAGGGAACCTCACTTTGCTTGGAGCGAGACGGGGAAGAGGTTCGGGGGCCTTCACTCTGGGTTGGGCGGAGGGGAAAGGAGGCCCAGGGAATGTCTTTGTTAGTACGATGGGGAGAAGCATTCCTGGGATTGTTCCGCTGGGTGAAGCATCGAGGGGAGGAAGTCCCAGGGTTGTCCCGCCGGGCGGAAGGTTGCAGGTGGTCCCATTGAGTACAAGAGGTTCTGAGGTTGTCCCTTTGGGTAGAAGAGGCTCTGGGGGTGTCCCGTTGGGCACAGGATGACCTGGGGTTGTCCCGTTGGGTCGTTCTGTTGGGAGAGGAGGCTCTGGGGGTGTCTCGTTGGGCCGTTCTGTTGGGAGAAGAGGCTCTGGGGGTGTCCCGTTGGGTCATTCTGTTGGGAGAGGAGGCTTTGGGGGTGTCCCGTTGGGTACAGGATGTCCTGGGGGTGTCCCGTTGGGTCATCCTGTTGGGAGAAGAGGCTCTGGGGGTGTCCCGTTGGGTACAGGATGTCCTGGGGGTGTCCCGTTGGGTCGTTCTGTTGGGAGAAGAGGCTCTGGGGGTGTCCCGTTGGGTACAGGATGATCTGGGGGTGTCCCGTTGGGTCGTTCTGTTGGGAGAAGAGGCTCTAGGGGTGTCCCGTTGGGCACAGGATGACCTGGGGTTGTCCCGTCGGGTCGTTCTGTTAGGAGAGGAGGCTCTGGGGGTGTCCCGTTGGGTACAGAATGACCTGGGGGTGTCCCGTTGGGTTGTTCTGTTGGGAGAAGAGGCTCTGGGGGTGTCCCGTTGGGTCATTCTGTTGGGAGAGGAGGCTCTGGGGGTGTCCCGCTGGGAACAGGATGTCCTGGGGGTGTCCCGTTGGGGAGTACATGTAGGAAAAGAAGCCTGAGGGATGTCCTGTTGGGTAGAAGTTCTAGAGTTGTCTTGTTGGGTGGCTCTGGTGGGAGAGGAACCTTGAGGATTGGTTCGTTGGGTGGAGGAGGTTCTGGGGTTATCCCGTCGGGCAATTCTTGAGGGAGAGGATGCTCTGGGGGGCGGCTGCTGTGTGAAAGAGGTCCTGAGGCTGTCCCGTTGGGTGGTTTGTTGGGGAGAGGAGGCTCGGGGCGTATCAAGCTGTGCGGAAGTAGCCTGGGTAACGTCCCTTTGGGCAGAACGATGGACAGAGGAAGCCTGGGGGGTGGCACTTCGAGGTCCACTCTGTGGTGCTGCACAGGAAGCCTGGGTTAGCGCCGAGCGGTGCCGTTCCAAGAAGTTTCCACTCTCTCCCCGGAGCTTGGCCCAGTGCTGTCCAGCACTTCGGTTCCCACCGCAGATGTCTGGAGAGAGATGATTTTTTTTTAATGTTTATTTATTTTTGAGAGAGAGACAGAGCGTGAGCAGGGAAGGAGCAGAAAGAGAGGGAGACACAGAATCCAAAACAGGCTCCAGGCTCCGAGCTGTCAGCACAGAGCCCGACGCGGGGCTCGAACTCACCAACCGCGAGATCACGATCTGAGCCAAAGTCAGACACTTAATCGACTGAGCCACCCAGGCGCCCCGAGAGGAGATGATGAAGGCAGAGCCCACAGCCCCTTCTTAGAGGACCCACTGTCCATACCGAAAGACTCCACCCCTGTGAATAAGGCAGACTGGATGGGGCTTAGCGGCCTCTCTCAAGCTGAAGCTGGGATGTGAAATTGAAACCCAGCCTTGACTCAGTCAATGGGAGGTAGGCTTCAGGGCTGGAAGGGCACATGGACAAATTCGTAGAGAGCCGTTCTGGCAACAGCCTGTGTAACCCCAGAGAAGGAGAGGCGGGTCCAGCCACAGCCACCTAGCAGCTTCCCTTTCCCTGTTCTACTTCTGCAGTTGGGCTCTGAGAAGCCCCCCCATCTCTTCTAATGAGCCTCTTTCACTGTGATAGTTCTAGAAAGCTCCCATTCCTTATACCCAGAGAGGCTCCTGCCCCAGAAGCTCCTGTCGGAGCTGCCATGAGGATGGGCTAGCCTTTTGTGAACTTGCAACACTAGCGTCACCTGGGAGTTTGCTAGAAATGCAGAATCTCGGGGTCCGCCTCCCCCCATCCTGGGCACGCTGCATCAAATCTACATTTTAATAAGATTCCCAGGTGATTTATATACACATTACTGTATAAACAGCCCCAGTCTAACAGACTCATGTAACTGCTCTAAGTGGGGACTCCTTCACAACTCCCATCCCCGTGAAGCGGCCGCCATGACCCTGGTGTCACCCACCAGCCCCCTCATCCTTTGGTCACCCAGCACGGGGTGGCCACCAGCTCTGTGTGTGTCCCTGGGCTCCAGAAGAGAAGGAAAGGGTATCGTGGCCTCATCTTGAAGGAGCAGCAACTACTTTCATTCAAGGCCATGCTTAAGATTCCCTCTCTTCCAGGGGCGCCTGGGTGGCTTAGTCGGTTAAGCGTCCGACTTTCGCTTAGGTCATGATCTCGCGGTTCGTGGGTTCGAGCCCCGCGTCGGGCTCTGTGCTGGCTGCCAGCTCAGAGCCTGGAGCCTGTTTCGGAGTCTGTGTTTCCCTCTCTCTCTGACCCTCCCCTGCTCACGCTGTCTCTCTCTCTCCTAGAAATAAATAGAAATATTAAAAAAAAAAAAATTCCCTCTCTTCCAATCTTGGAAAGCTCTGCCTCTTCCAAACTTTCTGAGCTGCCGTCACTGGAGTCTGAATTTCCAGCACAAGCAAGGAACCAGAAGCACACACAGAGCAGCACTTAAATTATTCGTCGTTGCCTGATGCCCCGATGCCCCGTGGCGCTCCAGCTCTGCGTCAGCCTGCTTCTCTTCTCAGCCTCCTCACCTCCCCCACCCAGCCACCCTCATCCCGAGCCCGGGTGTTCGCAATAGCTCCGGACACGTGCGCTGTGGGCCCCCAGCGCATCGCCCCATTCAGGGAGATCCTTTCCAAAAGCAAGCCTAACTAGATCCCCCCTGTGTACAAGGAGGGACTAAAAAGCTACCAGACTGAAGGAGACGGGGAAACATGGAGACTGAGTACAGGGTGGGTCCCGGATGGGATCGTAGGACCACAGAGGGACATGAGTGGAAAAACGGGCAAATCCAAATAAAGGATTCTGCAGTTTAGACAGTAGTTTACCAATGTTAATTTCTACATTCTGTTAATTACCAATGTTAATGTCTACATTCTGATAACTATATTAAGGCTATGGACGATATCAAATTAGGGAACCAGGCAAGGGGTATAGTGGAAACTGTACGTTTTGCAACTCTCCTATAAATTTAAAGTTATCTCAGGGGCACCTGGGTGGCTCAGTGAGTTAAGTGTCCAACTTCGGCTCAGGTCATGATCTCATGACTCGTGAGTTTGAGCCCTGCATCGGGCTCTGTGCTGATGGCTCAGAGCCTGCTTTAGATTCTGTGTCTCTTTCCTTCTCTGTCCCTCCCCTGCTTGTGCGCACTCTCTCTCAAAAATAACTAAATAAACATTTTTTAAAAATGATCCCAGAATAAAAGACTGGAAAAACATCAGGGGCTCCCAGCTGCATTTGGAATAAAATCCAGGGGCTTCCTTCCCCTGGCTAGCAAAGGCTCTGGCCGCCCCCACTGTCCCCCCCCTCACTGGCCTCCCCATTCCATTTGGGGAGGGGCCTCGCCTTCTCATTTTCCATTGTGTCTCCCGGGCTTAGGAAAAGCGCTAAGCACAGCAGAGGGGCTCAATGATGCTGTGCCACCACCCTCCAGCTCTGAGCACCGCCTCTGTGCCCGGGCGCTGGCTGAGATGGCCTTTGCCACTCCTCTCCGTGCCTCACAGCCGGGTCATCGCCAGCTTCTTCCCCTGTCCGCCCATCTCAAGAATCCCTTTCAGACTGGCCCACCCGTGATCTGACTTCCGTCCTGCAGCCCCACTCGTGCACCCACAAGCCAAGCTCTACAGATGGCCCCGGGCACCGTGTCCTGTCCCTCAGCCTGCCGGGAGTTGGATAATTCCTCCGGGGCGCGGGGGGGGGGAGGGGGCTGGGGGGGGGGGGGAGAGGGGGCACTGCCTGCAGTTTGGGAGCCTGCCACCAGGTGGACAGTGGTGACTGTCTTCAACCAGGCAGGTGACACAGTGAGGGTTCCCTCACTCCACTGGCCCTTGTGTTAGAAGCGAGAAAGCAGGTATTTAGGACAAAATCCCATTTTGCCTCTCAGGCCACTCACATTCCAGGACGTATCTGGGCCCCTGTGTTCCCTGTAAGATCACTTCTTCTCAGGCACCCTATCCTGGGTGCTGACAGGGCCTGGCAGTGGGAGTGGGTGATGACAAGACCTGATTCAGGTTTTTTAAAGCTGGCTCCAGGGGCACCTGGGTGGCTCAGTCAGTTAAGCGGCCGACTTCGGCTCAGGTCATGATCTTACAGTTCGTGGGTTCGAGCCCCACGTCGGGCTCTGTGCCGACAGCTAGCCCAGAGTCTGGAGCCTGTTTCAGATTCTGTGTCTTCCTATCTCTCTGCCTCTCCCCCACTCACACTCTGTCTCTCAAAAATAAATAAACATTTTTTAAAAATTATTTTTAAAGAAAGAAAGATCGAAATTGGGAAAACACAAGATTTGTAGCCTTTTCCTTTTCTCTGCGAACAACATCGCCCTGATTTCCTCTGGGCAATTTCCTCCCCTGCTCTTAGGCCATGACATGTGCACAGGGGTCTGACCCCATGCCTGGTCACCAGCTTGGGCACATGACCCATGGTGGGTCCCAGAGGGAGTCCTTCCTGGGACTTCAGCAACATCTATGGGAAGACTGTGTGTCATTTTCCAAGGGAGCCAATGTGCAGGTAGGATACAGCCTGGTACTGATATTGCTCATCATGCCACAATGGGGGGGGAGGGGCAGGTCTAGGTGAGAATGAAACCAGCGCAGAAGGAAACACAGCAGATACCAGATTTCTGATAGTATTTGAACACCTGGATCCAGCCGTGCCTGAAGTCGCAAACCCCTAAACTTTTTTACTTCTGTGAGTCATTCCATTTATGTGCAGCCAGTTTCTGTCAATTGCAACTTGATCCTAACCAACTAGTCGTGAGATGATGTATTTAAAGAATGTAGCATGGGGGGAGCCCGGGTGGCTCAGTCCGTTAAACGTCCGACTTCAGCTCAGGGCATGATCCTGCGGTTTGTGGGTTCGAGCCCTGCATCAGGCTCTATGCTGACAGCTCAGAGCCTGGAGCCCACTTCAGATTCTGTGTCTCCCTCTCTCTCTGCCCCTCCCCTGCTCGCACTCTGTCTCTCTCAAAACTAAGTAAACATTAAAAAATAATAATAATAAAAATAAAGCAGGTAGTATGGTGCACCGTGGCCGCTCCTCAATTACATGGGAACTGTCACTATTATTACTTGGGCCACCAAAGTAAGTGGTGCCGGGGGACCCAGATGGCCAGTGAGATCTGGCCAGGCCCCACCCCATCACCACACCTGTGGTCACTGGGACCAACCTGGCTTAGAAGGACTCACCTTCCTTTCTCCGGCCTCCGGTATCTCCTCCCGCAGGGGCCCGGGTGAGGAGAGATGGAGCCCTTCGGGGACTGTCAGCTCGCGGCCCCTCCTGGGGTTTCCTCGGGATCATCACGGTGAGCTCGTCCCAGCTGGGAGCCTCTTCCTGCTTTTCAACAGTGTCCCAGTTCTGCCAGGGAAGCAGGGAGAAGGCATATTTGGAGCCTCTGGGGCCCGTGCTCCCAGCATGAGATGGGTAGAAGGAAGGGAAAGGCACTGGCATTGAAAGGGCGCCTGCTGTATGGCCCGCACTGTGCTGGGCTCATCAAGGCACGAATTTAGCTAATCTGCAATCAGCCCTTGAGGCAGGCATCTACCTTGGAGCTAAGAACTTCGCCCAAAGTCACACGGCTGGGAAACAGTTTAGGTGGGAGGGGACTTGAACCTTGGGCAGCTGGAGTCATTGCAACAAGGCAGTCCCCAGAGGCACTCCCAGGGCCCAGAGAGAACTGAGTTCGAAGCCATCCTCTCCCCAGATACATAGCCTTAGGCAAGCTGCTTCCCTTCTCCAAGCCTCAGTTTTCTTGCCGCAAAATGGGGCCATCGAAGTCTCCGCCTCAGAGGGGGAGGTGAGCCTTCTTGAGCCCACACCTGCCGTCCCATCAGTTCTCCTTGGAGGTCTCACAGATGGCCTGTGACAGCCCTTTGAGGGGGGAGCTCCCCAGCCCTTCCCTGGGCCCCCCAGCCTGCTGCCTTTCCTCTGTCCCTCAGAGACCTATGCCAGGGCTGGTCACGGAGCTCATTGGTGTGTGACCAGGACAGGCACCAGGGCCAGTCCTGTCCTTGTCTGGACAGCATGCCCAACATCCGGGCCCTCTGTGACCGGAGAGGTTTTGGCGGGCAGACCCGGGTGTTGACAACTGAATCTCCTTCTGTCTTTTCTCAGCCAGGCCCCCAGCGCCCTGGGCCCGCACCGCAGAGACCCCTCCCCCTCCGGGTGGCTGGTCCAGCTGGCTGTCTCCAGATGACTTTGACCCGGCTCCCTGGCGTGAGAGCCTCAGCCCCTGTCTGGAGGTGTGGGTGGGACCCCAGGGCCGGCACAGAGGGGTGATCTTGTCCCCCCGGCCTTCCATCCCCAGCTCACCAGGGAGGACGGGTCGCTGGGGTCATCGGGGGTGTTGCGGTCAGGGCTGGTGCTGGTGCCGGAGGCGGGGCCTTCGTCGAGGCTGCTGCACAGGGAGGAGGCCAGACCCTCCAGATAGGGCACTGCCTCCTGTTCTAGGCTCCCGCTCCCGGGGGCGGCTGTGGGGCCCTCGGCGGAGGACCCTGCTGAAGGGCCCCTGGGAGAAGAGAGACAGACCTATGACTTCTTCCCCCCCACCCCAAAGTCAGGGGAATTAGGGAGCCATACCCTCACCCAGATACACACAGGCCTCTGGTTAGAGCAAAGGAGGAAGCTAACGCCGAGGGCTCTCTGTGCTGAGCTCTTTGCACGGATCACACAGACCGCCTCTTTTAGCTACAATGGCCTCCCTTTGAAATGTGCGTGATGATACCCATTTTACAGATGAAAACACTGAGGCTCAGAGAGGTCAAGGGCCGGGCAGAGGTCACAGAGCTAGGAAGGGCTATAGCAGCATTGTGAACCATGCCTGTGGCCCCAGCGCCTAGTCTCTATCACTGGAGGCAGATGGGGGTGTCCCCAAGCTCAGCAAAACTGAGAAGACAGAACTGTACTGGGCTGAAGGGGAGCTTCGGGGGGTAGCGAGGCTCCAGGGGTAGTAACAGGGCCACCGGTCTGATCACCATGGGAGGGAGTGGCAGGTAGAGCCCTGCTTTAGGAAGCCAGTCAGGACAGCCGCGGGCCCAGGTAGCCTTACAAATGGCAGTACCCGCAAAGGGTCCCCCACAGTTTGACCTGTAAGATGGAAAGGGATAACGGCCGTGAAAAAAGAGGTCTGCGGTGGAAGGAGCCCGGGACATACGACACACTCCTCCTACCTCCCCGACCCAAAAGCCCAAGGCCTGCTAGCAAACTCACGGGGCTGACAAGTCTTGCAAGAAAGATATTCAAATCGATTTATCCCAGACCTTCTGAAACACATTTGATGGCAGAGCTGGCGTCGTTTTGTTTTTTAAGTAACACCTACCTGTGAGGAATGCATGTTCCCGAGCAAAGCCAATTTGCTTCACTTCCTCACATTTTTTAAACAGGGACATTGAGGCATTGAGGAGGGGGAAAACGTGCCCAAGCTCCCACGGCCCATCAGGGACAGAATTGAAGCTGGAGCCCAGGTTTCCGGACCCTCGACCATGACATCCCAAGGCACTGTGGCCTCAAAGAAAGACTTCAGCTCAGGCCTAGGGGTGGAGGGGTGTGGAGGGAATCCCAGAGCTGGGAGCAGTGCACTGTCAGGTTGGTGGGTGGTCACGGGTGCCCCCCGCCCCCCACCCGGAGCTGAGACTGTTTAATCTTTTAAAGCTGTGCAAAGGGCACCAGGAAATGTGAGCAGTCGTGCCTGCTGCAGGGTAGGTGCAATGCTGCTCCATTCCCCAGAGCCAACCGAGACCAGGCCCGAGGAAAGAAAGAGCCCACCTCCCGCCCATCCCCAGGCCGTGTGGACTGACCGGATGACCCATGCCAGCAACCAGCAGAGACAGATCCTGCCATTGTGAAGGGGTTCAGGGAGGGGTGGGCGAGGGCAGCCTCCCCTAGGGAGCCCCTCCCCAAGCCTGGGGCTCTACCCACCTCTCTGGCCCTGGCCCAAGGCCCAGGCCCGGCACGGACTGGCAGCCGGCAGTCGAGGAACTGAGAGGCCCCTGAGAGGCAGGGGGGCGGCGTGGCAGCTCGTAGTAAGGCACCTCGGCACTTGGAGGGCTCCCCAGCTCCTGGGGCAGAGGTGGAGAGAGGAGGCAGCGCCTGGCCCACGTGGGGGTTCCCCTCCCCCTGCGCAGCCCCTCCCCCCACTGAGCCGGGTAGAAGGGTGTCCAAGCATCGCCTCCTGGGATCTCGGGCTTCTCAAGGAGAGCTGGGGCTTCTCAAGGAGAGCTGTCCGTCAGGCCGGAAGCGCCCCTGGGGACCCCAGCCGGGGGCTGGCAGAGGTGAAGGGCGTGTGTGCCGCGGGCATGTGTGTGCAGGTATGTGTTTGTAGAAAAGCCTGTGTGGGTGCGCGAGTGCACAAGTGCGAGTGGATGCAAGTCCAGGGAGGGGGCACACTAATGCCTCCGTTTGCTTCAAGGCGTGTAAGTTCATTACTACCTGCGTGTTGCTACACGCGGACGTGTGGGTGCCTAAGGGTGTGAGCTAAACAAAAGGACACAAACAGATGGGGGGGGTCTTCTGCAGCTGGAAACCAAGGACGGAGGGGAGGGTGAGGAGGAGGCCTGGAGAGTGAAGGCAATGGTCTGAGTAAGACCTTGGAGGAAGGAGAGATTTGCAGGGGGACTAAAAGAGGGGTAGGGGGCTGGGGGGGCAGGGTCCAGGCCCCAGGGGTGGGGGTGGGGCCCTGAGCCCAAGGCCCTTCTCTCCCTCCCCCGCCCTCAGCAGGGCCACACCTGCGAAGGCTGGTGCTGGGCTCACCAGGGGGGAACGGCCTCTCACCTCCGGGAAGGCCCCCCCATTCCTCCCCACCTTCCCCGGGGTGGCGGGCCCTCCCTGGTGGTGGGAGACAACGGCCACAGCACCCTGCACCCCGCCTCCTCTCAGGTTACCTGGGCGGCAGGCTCCGCGGTGGCGGCTGGCGGCTGTCAGCACCCTCGTCCCCGGGGGGCTCCGGCTCGGGCCCCCACGCTGCCACCCTCCCAGGCCCCGACTCTGGGCCCGTAGTGGTGGTGGCAGCCGAGGCAGCGAAACCTTAGAGGGGCCGGCCGTGAGCAGGGGCCCCTCATTACTCTTTCATAAGCCAGGGCCCGGCCAAGAACAATGCGGGACATGAAACCGCAGGAACCCGATCCCCGCCTGCTCACCTGAGAGCCAGGCAGGGCGGGGGCCCAGGCACGGGCTCCCCGGGGACCCCGCAGCTCAGTGCCCCGGGCCAAGGCCGCAGCCCAGCCACAGACCAGGGTGGGCACAGCCTGCCCCGGGGTCCAAGAAAGCTGCTCGCAGGCCCTGGGCAGGACCAGGGAGGGGGGCCGGCGTGTCTGCCAGGCCGTCCAAGCCAGAGGAGGCCCATCTGGGTTCAGTTTCGCGCCCCCCCTGCCCCGGAGCCAGATTCTGATCAGAACTCAGCAGCGGGAGGTGTCAGATCCACAGCCCAGCCTGGCGCCTTGGCCGCCCTGGGGACCTCGCCACATGAATGAGGAGGGAGCTGTTTGCGGGGTCCGGCCCAGCTGGGCCCAAGCGGGAGTCCCAGCCTGTCACGGCGCCTCCCCCCTGCTTTCACCCCCAGCCCTGGACACTACCCGCTGTCCCCACGAGCCGGCCCAGGAGCCAGTCCCTGGTTCTGATTTCCCGCCTGGCGGGTCAGCATGGGCTCTGGCCTCAGGCAGACATCAGGCCCAATCCTGGCACCTCCACTTCCCAGCTGGGTGACCTCAGCATGGCGGCTTCCCTCTCTGAGCCTGGGTTTCTCATCTACCAAACTGGGGTGAGAAGAGCACCCACCTCCTAGGGTGTCACGGGAATTAAATGGGTTAATACCTGTAAAGGGCTGAGCACAGGGCCTGGGCTGTACATCTTACATATAATAAATAATGTAAAAACATTAAATAGAATTTCATTCGTGGTAAATCAACAGAATATTAAATGCATTTAGGAATAAATACACTGAGGGGCGCCTGGCTGGCTCAGTCAGAGAATCATGTGACTCCTGTTCTTGGGGTCGTGAGTTCGAGCCCCACATGGGATGCAGAGGTTATTGAAATAAGTAAAGATTTCAAAAAAGAAAGGAATAAATACATTGAAAGGGACGTGTATGCCTGGCAGACAGCAGGACCCTGCCACCTCCCTCCCTGTAGACCTTGGCCTTGACCTGCTGGCCCGTGTGATTTCCCAGGATAACCCCTCCCCCACCTCTCAGCCTGTGAAAAGCCCTGCTAAGAGCAGAGCACGGAGGCATCCAGCACCCAGGCTCCTAGGGGAGCTACAGTAAGCTTCAGGGGGAGGGCTGCCCTGGGACCTGAGGCCACTTCTGCATATTCTCGGGTAGCACAATGCCCGGCACTTTTGAGCACCTGTTCAGTGTGAACCATGTGAACACGCGGGCCGGCCCCAGGTCTCAGCCCAGAAGTGGGTGGACTGACTCTCGAATGCAGACCTGTCTGCATCCAAGGTTCTCTTCCTGTTTCACGCTTGCTGTCTCCCCACCAACTGGGGAAGGGCAGGTGCATCGGAGACAGACCCACGGGGCTTTCGGGCATGTTCCCTAAACTTGGGGCAGAGGCCAGAGAGCTGTTACTGGCCGTGTCAGGACAGAGAGAAAAGAATCTTCCAGATTTACTTTTCGGGTCGGGAGGGAGGGAGGGAGAGAGGAAACTAGTGTGTATTGAATTAACCAACCACATGTGACTTGGGCTAAATAGTGTCAGGTGCCCTGAGCGGGAAAGCTCTGTTGCCCCACTTTACCCATCAGGAGAGCGGAGCCAGAGAGGGTACGTGGCCGCAGGGCACACAGCAGGTAAAGGGCAAACCTAGGTTTGGAATCCTGGCTTCCCTGCTTCCAAAGCTGAATGGCAACTCCCTTATATTGGCCACCCCGTGGAGCCTGACACCCTGCATAGAACCGGCTGCCAGGCTCAGAACCCTCTGGGGATGATGGTGCCATGGGTGGGGGGGAGGGTCAAGGCTGGAGGGATCCGTGGAGATTCACGGGTCCTCTGCTTCTCCCGGGGCTCTGGGTTTACGTGTAGCGGCACTTGGCCTAAGACCACACGGATCGCCAAGTGAGAAAACACACATCCCCTTTCGCTCCTTCAACACCTTCAAGGAGAGTCTCCAGCGGGTGCCAGGGTACCTTTCATGTCTCCCTAACGCCCGCCAGTCTCCCTTTCTAACGGAGAGACAGTGAGAGTCAGGCTCTGAGCCGTCAGCCGACACGACTCTCTGGTTAGAATTTAAGGACATTTCTGATTTCTTTTTTCGTTCTTCCTTTTTCACCTTCTATATAAAGGGTATGATCTTAGTTTTCTATTCCTAGTGATGATATAAAGTTGTGTTTCAATATAAAGTTTAAAAGGGTGTTTATTTAAAGAGCAATAAAGTAAGTACTAGGTGACATGAGGCTGTGGCAGAAAAAAAACCAAAAAAGCGGGCGGAGAATGACTCACATTTGGGAATCGCAACGTGGCCCCAGCCCCTCATCGTACAGACGGCAGAATCGAGTTCTGCCCAGGAGGGAGGCCAGTGTCTGGCCACAGGCAAGTGGCCCAGCCAGGGACCGTCCCCATCCCAAGCCACTACGACCGTTCAGGAAAGCTGGCTTACCTGGTGCCTTGCTCTGTGCACCTCCTCAGGGTGGAAACAGTTTTGACAGCAACTCAGGGCGAGCACGTTGGCCTCAAAGTGCACACAGGGGACAGTCCCAGCCACCCCCTCCATATTGGGTGAGTCAGGCCACGGCGGCTCTTGTGATCCAATGGTGGGAAGAAAGGGGGTCGGGCAAGGACCAGCTGATTGGCTGGTGGACCACCCGGAACCCAGCCTCAGCTTCCCCTAGAGAGACAAGGACCGAGGAAATAAGGTTATCATCCATTTATGCATTCATTTATTCACTCAACAAACACTCGTAAAGCACCTACTAAGTACCAGGCCCTCTGCCAAGCATGTGACACGTGATTTCTAGTCATTACCGCAGCGTTGCTCAAAGTCTGTCTAAGGACCCTGCAATAGACTCAGCCAAGCTGCTCATAAAATGCATATTCCCGGGGCGCCTGGCTGGCTCAATCAGCAGACCCCGTGACTCCTGATCTCTGGGTTATGAGTTCGAGCCCTGTGCTGGGCATAGAGCTTACTTAAAAAATGTAAATTCTCAGTTGTCTGCCCAGATCCACCCAGTCAGAATCTCCTGGAGATGTGAGGCCTGGGGTTGCGCATTTTTAAAAAGTTTTTTAGGGGATTTGATGCACCCCAAAGTTGGAGTGAACCTTTTCTCACAGTTCTCCTACGTTGCAGATAAAGCTGAGGCCAATTTAAGACAAGGCAACTAAGAGTTACCGAGGGTCCATACCTTGTTCTAGGTCCCAGGGGCTGAACTGGGGTTCTGACTGGAGCACAGGGCTCTCCCAGGGCTCTCCTGTCGTCGAGGGGAGGCCACTGAGAGCTCCAATGCCACGCCCTGGGAGGGGGAGGGGGGATGCCCCAACAAAAGAGTGACCCGAAGATCCCTTCCTCACTCACAGGGAGCCCCAGGAGGAGAGCGGGGCAGAGGAGAAACCCATATCCCCAAACCCCACGCACCTTGGATGCCCAGGTCCCCTGCCCACACACCTGTCCTCACCTGGCGAGTGTCATCCAAAGCCCACCGGGGGATAAGGCCTTCGTTGCCAATCTCAGCCGAGAGCTGCGGAATTTCACATCCTCCCCTGGGGCAGCCAGGGCCAAGGTTCCCGGCTTCTCCACCATCAGACCTGGGGAGGTGGCAGAGCCCGGAGTGTATGTGTGTTTTGGAGGGGGGTACCCACTTGCCCCCTCGATCCTTCCTGGGCCATCATCTCCGCGAGACGTCCCTTGCACCATGGGTGGAGGGGGCGCGAACCGGTCCCGCCCAACTTGGGCGGGTCTTTCCGGGTCTGCCCATGTAAAAGAGCATCGCCTGAGAAGGAATACGCCGCTCATTTTCCTGGGGGCGGATGGGGGCTCTATTCCATGTGCCCCTCCCGGCCCCCGCGTCCTCCGCCTCCTTATTCCCACCCCACTGGCAGAGTCCTCAAAAATGCACATTAGGTGTGGCTGTAACAATGGGAAACCTTCAGCGGACACTCCTGCCCCGCCCGGAGAATGGACTCCGGGACCTCTCCCGCGGGTCAGCGAGTCCCTCTCCGTGTGCCTCGCCCCTCTGCCTTACCCCACCAGCCTCCGCTCCCCGCTCCCCTCAGCAGCGCCGTCCCACTGACCTCGGCTCGGGTTTCCACGCACGGGAGGCGCCACGGTGGGATGCCGGGGTCGCGGCTCCTATTTTAACAATGAATCAGAACGTTGCCCGGGAGGAGGACGAAGACCACTCCTCTGCGGCTCTCGCATAGGCTCTCTCTAGGCGCCTCATTTACATAAAGGCTGTGCGATTGGACAACCTGAGGGCAAGGGGCGGGGCGGAGGCGGGCGGGGCCCAGAAGCCTCGGAGCGCGGGACCGGCTGCACGTCTAGCCTGAGCTGCTGGGTCTGGGTTCCCAGGGGGCCCATCCGAGGGCTAGCGCTGGCGGGTCTGGCTCCTCTGATCTCTTTCCCGGAGATGCATTCGCTCTACAGTTCCCTAGGCTGGTCTTAGCCCAGATGTTGGGCTAGAGACTTAAATTCTCTGGGCCTCAGTTTTCTTACCTGTAAAATGGGGAGAGGAGTAGGACCTGTGGGGATGAAATGAAATGCCCAGAGGGTTTCAGCCTCCATCTGCTCACTTCCACTGATATAGAACTCATTCAAAAAGGCACAACTCTCTTTTTTTCTTTTAATCGTCCCCGCTTTTGAAGCTAATATTTCTTCTGCACTATGTGCCACCTCCTATTCCAAAATCTTTACATTCATTAGGACACAGTAACCCAAAGGGGTAAGTACCAAGATCCTGGTTTCACAGCAACTAAGGACAATTAACTCGCCAGTGTCACATGGCTAGTAAGAGGCAGAGCCAAGGCTAAAACCCTGATGCGTCTGACTCCTCTAGCACCACAAGCATCTTCATTCACTAATTCACTCGGACATTCACATGTATCTGTGCAGGGCACTGGGGAGACGGTAACATGAATAAAATGTCCCTCCTGCTGAGATGAGAAGCTCAGAGACCAGAGGAAGACATAGTCCCTGAACAGGTCATCCTGGCCCAGGATGGAATGGGTGAAAACACAGTTTAGTAACAAGGATAATGATGGGGAGCCTGGGTGGTTCAGTCGGTTAAGCATCCGAGTTCGGCTTCAGGTCATGATCTCACGGTTCGTGGGTTCGCGCCCCACATCAGGCTCTGTGCTGATACTAGCTCAGAGCTTGGAACCTGCTTCAGATTCTGTATCTCTCTCTCTCTGACCCTCCCCTGCTCATGCTGTCTCTCTCTTTCTCTCTCAGAATAAATAAAACATTTAAAAATTAAAAAAAAAAAACACAAAGATAATGAGCTCTCAGCTCGATCCCAATTACTGTGAGCAAAACAGGGAGTAGGGAGACCAGTGCTCAGTATCTGATGCTAGCGACTCTTGGCTGTGTGATCTTGAGAAAGTTGCTTGACCACTCTGAGCCTGGGGTGGGTTAGACATTTGGTTTGAAAAAAAAAAAGACATTCGGTTTGAGTTCGAAGCTCAGGACAGGGCCCCGGCTCTTTAGCCCCTGTCCCCCACCAAACAGTAAAACCTGGAGCTAACTCAGGTGTGACACTCCTGACAATTCAATTCATGAAATACTTAAGGAAACAAAAGATTGAGTCTCCTGCTTTCTTGCTGCTTTACATTCCAGTGGAGACCAACAGACTCCAAACAAGATAAGTAAGCACTCCATAAATAAATATGCAGGATGTAGGCTGGGGAGAGGTGCTAAGGAGAAAAATGAAGCCAGGAAGGGGTGTGTGTGTGGAAATGGCTGGTGTGGGGAGGGCATTGCATTTGAAACAAGGTGGTCAGGGGAAGCCTCGCTGAGGTGTGCCGTCTGAGCAAAGGCCTGGAGAAGAGAGAGCGAGCCTGCAGGCCCTGGGGAAGGACAGGCTGGCTGAGGGGACACAGTGTGGAGGCTGGAGTAGAGAGGGAGGGAGGAAGGGAAGTGTCCTCGGGCAGGGCGGGCTGGTCCTGAGCGCTCTCCCTGGCTCTGGAGCCGCCTGGCTGGGCCCCTGGAGGGCAGGAGAGGATGGTAGGCAGGTGGGCAGAAGCCGGGGTCCTGAAGGAGAGACGACTGGACAGGAGGCAGGAGGAGGGGGTCAGGGAGCCGGGGGGAGCTCTTGGAAGAAACCCCCTCTTGGAGGAGACAGTGGCTCTAAGAGGGAGACCCAAAGTGGGGCTTTTGATCATGTAATAACAGCCCCTCCTTTTCCCTAGGGGGCAAGGCTGTCTGCATATACCGTGGGTTTTCTCCCAGCGTCTCCCGGTGATGAGCGGGGCAGCTGTCACCATCCCCGTTTCACAGGAGTGAAACTCAAGGCTTCAGGGGCTTAAGCAAGTTGCCCAAAGCCACTCAGCTGCTTGATGACAGAGCCCGGTCTAAAAAAACCCAGTCCCAGAGTCCTGTGGGATGGCTCGGATGGCTCAGGGTTAAGGGCTCAATGGCAGCCAGGACAGCGCTCGTCACTGTTGTCACCATTCTATGCCAGCCTCGCATCCCCCTTTCTGCTCCCAGGAGAGTCCGTGCCTATCTCTCTGTCTTTGCTCATGCGGTTCCCAGGGGCTGCGATACGCTCTCCCAGAGGTCTGGGGGGCCCGCTCCACCCCTCCGACCCCGGGCTTCCGCACAGTCCTGGGGGAATGGTCATCCCCACCTCGGAGCATCATGTGCTCCGGCAGGCGAGGTAGAGAGGCAGGGGGCGTGGCCTGGTAGGCGCGGAAGCAGGAAGGCTCCAGTCCGTAACGGGGTCATCAGGGCTGACTGCAGCCCGAGGCCACCCCTGGGGAAATGGCAATCCAGGACAGCCAGGCTTACTTTTCTTTTTTAATTAATATTTTTTAACGTTTATTTCTTTTTGAGAGAGAGAAAGCGAGCGAGCAGGGGAGGGGCAGAGAGAGAAGGAGACACAGAATCCAAAGCAGGCTCCACGCTCTGAGCTGTCAGCACAGAGCCTGACGTGGGGCTCGAACTCGCGGACCACGAGATCACGACCTGAGCTGAAGTCAGAGGCTTAACCGACTGAGCCACCCAGGAGGATCCCCACCCCCTTTTTTTTTAAATTGCAGCCAGGCTTACTTTTCCTGAAAAAGCTGGAAACCTGAACTTCTGCATGAAATCTTAACGGCTTAAAATATGGCTAGGGCAAATTGTTTTGGTTTTGGTTTGGTTTTTGCCTCAGAAAAAAAATTGGGTAAACACTCAGATGTGTTCCTTTTCACAGAGATTTTCAGTAAAGGGCAAAAGACTTCAAGGATCTGAAGAGACACCAAGTGTAAGTCAAATTGTTTCTTTCTTTAAGTCAAATTGTTTCTAAATTTGCTGTGAGTCACACCAAGCTAATATGCAGTGTTTCTGAAGTGGTAAATCACAGATAGGTTTTTCTTTTTCTTTTTTAAGTTTATTTATTTTGAGAGAGAGAGAGAACAAGTGTGGGAGGGGCAGAGAGAGGGGGACGGAGGATCCAAAGGGGTTCTGTCCTGACAGCAGAGAGCCTGATGTGGGGCTCGAACTCAGGAACCACGAGATCATGACCTGGGCCGAAGTTGGACGTTCAATCACTGGAGCAATCCAGGTGCCCCTCACAGATTATTTATTCCCTCAGTGACAGTTTAAATAGCACCCCCTCCAGGAAGCCCTCCCTGCTTCTCCGGCCTTGAGGAAGGGGCTCACTGTGCTGAGCAGAGATCTAATGCAAGACTCAATGGCTCCTAGGGTGTCTTTCACATCATGGACCATGTGAGTGCACCCCTGGAAGGGAAGGCTTGGCTTGTTCAGTCGATGGGTCAGTATTCATGTCTGCATCGAGGGTGTGGCTTGCTTCCTGAGGGTGCCACCTCAGTGTGCCTCGATGGCAAAATGGGCTTAATGGGGTTCCTGTGAGAGCTTAGTGAGTGAAACCAGGTAAAGAGTGGCTGGTATACAGTGAGTGCTCAATAAATGCTACTCATATCATCTGTCCTCCAGTCTTCTCCACTCGGTCCCCACAGCTACAGCATATGAGCTGTGAGTCGATGGCGGGCAGGGACCGCCCTCTCCTGCTCCTAGGGCACCCCCAGTGGCCGGGACTTCTTAGCGCCCAGTAAGTGCTTGGGGAGGGGGGGGAGTGGACACCTGCATGAGAGGAGGGCCTCCCTGCCTCTCACGGAATAACGAACGACACCAGGGTCCTGGAGACTCCGGTACTTCTGGTCCACCACTCACCCTGCCACTGGGGGAGGATCTCTCTAAAAAAATCACTGACCCTGACTTTCCCGTGCCACCCCCAACCCCCCCTCAGGGGTTCCCAGTGCCCGCAAATTAAGGATCCAGATCCTTTAGCTCAGTATTTGAGTCCCTTCAGGATCTGAGCTCCGGGGAGGGAGCCTCTGCAGCTGCTTTTCCTCTGACTGCCCCCCACCTTGGCTCACCAGGGCGCCGGGCCTGCCCGCTCATCCCCTCCCACAGCTGCCTGGCCGACCCAAACCGTCCTTCAAGATTCACGTCAAGGCTCACCTCCTCTCTCCGCTTTGGGCCCCTCTGGGTGCGTAAGGATGTCTGTCCTCTAATACTTTGTTGAACCTCTGACCTCCACAAGGACTTCCCCGTGTCTGCCCCTCGGAGGGATGTAAGGACTGTTGAGTTATTAGCCATGACAGGTAACTTCTGCCATTATGCTTCTGGAGACTCAGTTTCCTCACCTGTCAAATGGGGCTAATACCCGCTCACAGTGCTGTTGCGACTTAATGCCGTAGCTGGTCTGGCACATGAGAAGCGCTTGATAAATTACTCTCCCATCTGCTTTTGGTTTTGGTCGTTATTTGGCAATCCTGCTGACTAGGGTGGAAGGGAGAGGGCGAAGTTCATTGGATGGGGAAGGTTTCATCGGGGGCCCAGGAGAGATGCCTGTGGTGATGGGAAGGAGGGAAAAACAGGTTGCAGACAGGCAAACGTGGCTCACTAGGGCCAAGAAAATTCTAGAACCGATTGTTTTGAGTTACTGGGAGCACCTGCGGGGGTGGGGATTGGGTCCCCTGTAATTCAGCCACGATTGGTTGAGGACCCATAATGAGGGCCCTGGGCCAGGAGTAGAAACATAGCAATTGCTGAATGACACAGCTTCTCACTCCGGAGGCTCAGGGTCAGCTTGCAGGGGACAGACCCAACCAGGTTACAATGCACTCAGTGTTTAAAAGAAGGAAACACAGTGTCGAAGCCCAGAGTGGAGAAAGGACCGATTCCCGGGGGTTGGAGGAGCAGTCATGGAAGGCTTCCCTGAGGAGGTGGCTCAAAGACAGGGCAAGAGAGGCTGTGAGGAGCCTGTGAACTTCTAAAGGGCCCCCACAACATCTGGAAGCAGCAGGTGTTGCTGACGTGCCGGCCCCACTCACAGCGGAACAGGCAGTGAGGTCTGGAGCTCAGAACGAACCGGGCAGTCCCTGCCAGAGTCCTGTGGTCAACAGTCCAAGCTGGGGGCTCTGAGCCGCTGAGGCTCCAGGGGACTTTGGAGAGGACAAAGGCAGAGGTTTCCCTAGCACGGAACCCTCTCCTCTGTGGTTGCCAGCCTTGGCATGTGGCTCCACCAGCCCTCCCCACTCGTCCCCCGACCCACCCCAGGGAGGGCTCAACTGCCCCAAAACACTGCCGAGTCTGTCCCCTGCTGAGCGGGTGGCCTGGTTCCTACCAGCACAGGCCTGACCCAGCGTCGGGGAGCCCAGCGCAGTCACCAGGGAACAGAAAAGCAAACGTCTGCTGTGGCTTTGGTTCCAGATGGCCACACCCCCTCCTGACCGCCCTTCCCTGCACTTTCAGCTCCTGTGGGAGACTCCGCTGCATGTACCCCAATACTGACCCTCCCCTTCGCAGCACAGTCCCCAAGTCTTATTTGGGAACATGGGTCTCCAGAATGGACCATAATCCCGGGCCTTCCCTGCAGCCGAGAGCGCCCTCTTCCTCCTTCCCCAGGTCTTTGCCTTCTGCGGGACCAAGGTCAGAAGTTCTTAAAGTAGGGACAGGCATGTTCTTCAACCCATCCTCCCATGTGCTGGCTGAAAGACAGGTTTGATGGCTGACGCTCCAGCAGCCATAGTGGACCCTGAGGTGGAAGCCAGGTGTTGAAAACAGCATGAAAGAAAAGGCTAAAAAGCCTGCCATCCCAGCCCCCCAGCTCCAGCCCAGTTACCTCCCTGCTAAGCTCCTCTGAAACAAGCCATTTATTTTTAAATTTGGTTTCCTATTTTATGAAGCTAAATCCCAACCCTTCTTTACAAAGCTCCCAGAAGCTCCCAACCCGGGAGGCCCACAGGAGGAAAGGGTTCAGGTGTGGAACCAGGAGGGGCTCCATGGAGAAAAGCCCAGTTCTCCAGAGGGTTCTGATCCCAAGATGGGCAAAACGGCTGACTCAGTTTCCGTGGTCTGCTGGAAGGACCGATGGTACACACAGGAGAGAGCAGGCGGGAATTTAATACGTGGGGACAGCACAAATCATAGACGCGAGTGGCTGGTGACGCCGGGGCTCTGGGGACGGGAGACGAGACCTGGCTCAGATGTCTCCGCGGACAGCGGCAGCCCAGGCACGCTGCAGGTGCTGGGGGAAGCAGCTCCTTTCGGCCCCAGGGTGGCCCTGAGAGGTAGGTCTCTTGTCATCTCACACTTGGGGACAGACCCAGAGAGCTTGGCACAGCGAAGTGCACACACAGAGGCCAGGTGGCCGAGCCAGGATTTGAACCCAAACCCTGCTGTGTGCTGGTCCCTAGGATGTGCCCTGCTCCCGGGGGGGGGGGGGGGGGGG